TTGAGTATTAGATTACTTATTGCCCATGACATCCAATTAATCATTAGCACTTATTGATTTCACTTTGTTATTACTATCAGTTATATCACAACTATGTGTTATTTTACGGGTTGGCTATGCCATTCAGTTATAGTATTTCACTACTATGTTTTGTTTTACATAATTTCAATGACATTCATTAGCATTATACCACTGATATGCATTATTCTGATTTTTAGCATCGTAAGCCCTCAGACTTACTGTTAAACCACCGGAATTACATAAGAATGGTTATTCAGGACAAAGTATGTAAAAATCTTTAAAACAATAGTATCTGTAGTCCGTGTATTCTGTATTGTTATGCAGTAATTATATTGTTGAAATTTGAGATATTGGAATTTTAATTTAAAGACTTCTTTTAATTGGGCTTTAATATTAAATTGATAGTATTATGCTAATTTATTTTATAACCCGTGCCTTTTAAAAATTGAAAATTATATTTTATATTTGATCTTTATTTAAGTTATCAATTTTAAACATAAATTGTGCTATTTATTAAAAAAATCTACTTGGTTTCTGTTTTTAATACTGAAGAATAGCCTATAATGCTAAGAAACCAACATTTGGGGAAACAGAGAGGATTATGGTTTTGTTACAACTGTATAGCCAATAGACTAAGTGCGTGAATAAAACTACTTTTAGTACCACTATAAAATATGTTCTTTATTATATGAACAACTAAACTCAAAAAGTTTATAAATTATTTGATTGTTTATAGGTTTTTGATATTGTTAAGTATCTGCTTGTTTGTTAATTTCCGGTAGAAATTCTTTCCGAGGAACTTTAGCGATACAAGTCCTTTCTTGGTTGAACCAGTTTATTCTTTCTCGATACAAACTTTTAGTACACGGTAATTCCACGATCAGTACGTTTCTCGTCACTTTAAACTTAACAACTTTAATAATACACGCTATAAATCACAGCGATTCACAATCTCGATAAGTTTGCTCTCTACGAGTGCAAAACACGCACTAGCTCGAAACATAATCGTAAATTACCCGAAACTCACCGTAACTACTGTTCGCTTTATCATCCCCTGGCTTTTCTCTGCCAGGCTTATATACTAACGAAGAGACATCGCCAAAATTTTCGAAATTGATAAATTTAGTCCCAGAAGTTGGTCAAAGATGTCATGTACTGTTTCATTGGATGGTTGTATTTGTGGCTTACATTACTTCTGTGTGAGGCTATTTTACGGCATACCAGTATTCTTAATGTCCAACATGTGATTGATTAGTTGTAGTAAGTATGTGAACTGACAAAACAGTTTGGGGCCTTTTAAAGATTCCAGTTTTCAACTTAGAAGAGTCAAGACTTACATGAGAAGTGCTTCGTGTATTTTGACATGGTTTTTGTTCCAGATTACCACCTTTACTCCATTCTTACTATATTTTGAATTTACAGTTTTATCTTCATATTATTTTTAAAAGATCCAACCGTTTTTCTCAGTTTTCCTTTGTTTAATTTCTATTATATTTCTATCTACGACAGTTCATTTTGATTTTGCGTCTCGTACTTTACACCTGATTCACCCCTTACTAATCAGATTAGCTTCTGTATTTTTTTTTTAATTTCCCCGAAAATTGAATTGATAAATAAAGGGAGACAAAAAGAGACTTCGACAAATACATTAAATATTATAGTATATTGTAATCAAACCATACAATTAAGCTGATTAGTCCTAACAAAGAAAAGCGAAAATGTTATTAAATGTTATGAATTTAATACAAAGTTTTAGGACTTTTTTCTGTTTCACTGCGCGCAGAATCTGTAAGAAATAATTGCGATAAAATATATCCGTATAAAATACGTTAAATCCCTCATAGTGAGCCACTTCCGATGATTCATTGGTAAGTTTTAATAAATGCTTATAACGTTAAAAATTGGGTTTCGATATCCGTGGTGGGCAGAGCGCAAATAGCCTATTCTGTAACTTTATGGTTAACAACAAACAATCACAGTAAGGATAATACATGACGAAAATGCTCACTATCGTCAGAGAGAATAAAATTACGTTTTTTTAATTTTTTAAGTTATGTTGATTTTACAACTTTAGGGAATCAAATTGTTAGATACCAGCGTTCAACTGAAAGCATGGCGAAATGGACGGATATATGCCCCACTTTTTGAAAGAGAGTCGGATTACCTCTCTCCTCCTATATGACAATCTGTTTACGCCCCTTTACGAAATTTTTAATGCGTATGAGTCCCAGAAATGGCACATGTCATACCCTTCACAAAATATCAAGTTATTAAATGATGAGATTCCAACGTCTGACATGTATTCTTTGAAAACGATGTAAAAATAAATGTCCTCTATATTCATCTAAAAACAAACTGAGGTATCCTAATTAAAATGACTGTCAGTTATGGGAGATGTCTGATAAGTTTCTATAAGTTTAAGTATCGGTTTCCTGACTTGTTGACGTATATTAAGTTTGGTTCCTGACATTTGTATACGCTACCTTTTACGGTGTAATTCTCTATGAATTAACATCAACGTCACAGTTCTCCCTCTTTTTCAAACACATGTATAAGTCCGACAATGTTGTATTATTTAACTTTATTTTAGTCATGGCATCTGTCTGCATCCATTGCCATAGTTTACGTCACTTAACCAAAGTTACTAAACTGTTTCAAAATACCATATTTGGAACATAATGCCCATACTTTTATAGCAAATTTGTGCATAATCATCAGAGTAATAGATAACATATAATACTAATTATGTATTATATTTGACGGAGTTGTTTAACATGTCACACATAAGTTTAGCAAATGGTCAGAATATTTTTCATATAAAGAAGATAGATAACTGCTCAAATGATTTCTCTGTCAGATAAGCTGTGAGTAGCATTGAGTTGGCAAATATTATACTTCCATAAGTATGATCTATGTTATCATGGATAGATCACGGTCAGATAATCTGTGAGTAGCTTTGAGTTGGCAAATATTATACTTCCATAAGTATGATCTATGTTATCATGGATAGATCACGGTCAGATAATCTGTGAGTAGCTTTGAGTTGGCAAATATTATACTTCCATAAGTATGATCTATGTTATCATGGATAGATCACATAATATAAATAGTGTTTCAGCCATAAGTGTTTGCTAGTTTTAAGATGGCATTTCTCTTCTGGGAGCCATGACTATATTCCCCACACTACTGCTAGAAATAGTAAGGTTGTCTGTAGGCACTGCTTGATATGGTGAGTGAAGCCATTCACATTATAAATAATCAATATTGGACTGACATGAATACTCCTCCTTCTAGGTGCTTCAAACATGTTAAAACTCAAAGAAAAGATAGATGAAAAAGATTTAGATGAAAGGTTTAAGACTTTTGTTCAGGAGACCTAGGTCATGAATATCAATATTCAGTCAATAAGTATTTTAATATAAGTTCTGGGTGTTCAGGTTCGTAACCAGATTTTATCTGCAAATTGGAACCTGAACAATTTCATAACAGAAGAAACAGACTACTTTGACTTGTAGGAGTATTTCATATTCAGTTTTCTGAAAGCATCTACAATAAAGAAGCTTTGAATCCTTCTTCATTGGCTATTTCGGGCTAAATAACACCAATTACTTTTACAGAGATTGTTGTAACTAATTCTATAATTCATCCAGAGGTGTCTGTGATTAATTAACTTAACATTGGCAAAAAACCTCAAGTCTGATGAAGACATGATGGGGAATAATTATAATGTAGGTCGTACAGACGTTTATCAAAACTTAAAATAAATTTAACTTCATAGAAGCTTTTTATGTTCATTTGTAAAATATTTTAAAAATATGTTTTATTTATTATTATATATTTGCGATTGCTTACAAAAAGTTTACTCTTATGATTTATAAACATTAACTTCACTTATGGTAAAACTTATGCATTTTATTTTATCATCACATCAATGCCAATGAAACATTCAGGCACACTCATGAATATTTTACCTAAATTCATGACAGTTACTTTAGAATAAATTGTTTATCAATGTAAACAAAGTAAAGTATTTAAAAATGTGTTGTATAAGTTCACATGGTATGTGTATGTTTATATAACAATCAATCTTTTGGAAAACTTATTTTAAATCAATATATCATCCAAACGTGTTTCATTTAAATGGACGATCAAAGTTCTTGAATAACAGAAATACGGTAATAATTAGATATTTTTTCTGGGTATGTTAAGTATCCTACGGCGCCCTCTTTTGTGAGATTGTATCTTCAAGTGCATACCAAATATACAATTAATATGTATATGTCTAGCGTTACATGTAGGAGAAACCTTCATATTACAATTAAAAGCGAGTTGTATTGTTATTCTGATAATTAGGTGTTTAACATCTGGTCACAAAGTTTGCTCTTTTAGTTTTGCTTTTATGTGAATAGATTTGTTTGTTACAGTTTACTTAATCTAAAGTCTTTCAGGAACACTTGTACTATGGAGGCTGCTGATTCTTGATTAACAGACTTACTGTAACTACTGATCAAAGTGTATCCTGTTTTTAACGTAACAATTAAATTACGATTATTGCATTCCAGCTTATTGTAAACACGGTTTTTTAATAAAACAACCCAAGAATGGCTGGATGATGCTGACGTACAAACTTTATATTCACGAACGTCTTCTTCTGCTTTCTCCACATCTCAATACTAACATTGTTACAAGTTTCCTTGAAGTTTTATTGTTATTATTCGTTCTTTGAAAACTGGCTCAAATACATTAATTTAATTTTAAGAATTTTAAACAATGCAACGTGAAAACAAAAACATCAAGGGATAGTATCCCCATCTCTCGAGTGCAACATAAAACAATTAATCAATTCTTTGAATATATAAGGTACTAATATCAGTTAAACAAGTCACACAGAAACTGACAACAGTTAAGATGCTGAAATCATTTATTCAATAATTAAAAAGATAAACAAAATGTGAGAAAAAAACCAAAACCTCGGATTAATAATATTAAAATTAGGAAAAAATAACAAGTTTTTTCTTGATTAATTTTTTGCTCATTAAAAAAAAAGAATTTAACAGGAAAACTGGAACTTTTTGTTTCCTGGAAAAGGGACGATCCTATTCATCCCGCTAACCTGGAAATACAGAGAATGAAAAAAATAACTCCAATTAATCGCCGGTCAATGGTAGTTTAATTTAAATTAAATGAGTTTGAATTTTGGACATTGTGTATATAGAACACTTTAGTGTTTTACTCTAATAAGTTCCGAAACGTTCGTTAACCACAGAATAAAACAACAATATAATTATAAGATCTGAATTATACAATCGGTTCTTACCATCGGTCTTGAAGCCAGAGTTAACGGTTCATGGATTCTGGGTTAAACAGCTCTGTATTTAAAAAACAAAAAAATATAATGTTCAAAGATTTTGCTAAAAGAAAGTTAAAATCTCTTGTAGAAACAAAAAATCAAAATAATGAATACGTACATATAGAAATTACAGATACATTGTTATGACAAGTGTAGGCGTTACATAAAAAGCAACAACAAATGTATACATTTTTATATTGATATGTCAAATGTTAAATTATTGTAGATACAAGACTATATTGTCTATCTGCTATATCCATCGCGGGAAATCAAAACGCGGATTTTAGCGTTCAAATTCCGTAAACTTACCGCTGTTCCACTGGGATACCTCTATGGCTACAAGACACTATAATTTTCGTACTAGAAATAAATGATCTTATATTACTAAATTTGTTATTTTTCTTCGATTGGACACTCAACGTTTCGCTTCACAGCTTCTTCACGAACGTTTCACTAAAACACAAATCGTAACTGTAAATCGTACAAAGCTTCTAAAGGTTTGAATAATAACTTCTAATCGAATCTATAGCGTGTATTTCTACAGCGTGTGTTTGACTCGCTGATTTCCCTTGAACAAACGTTTGACACGCTGGTTTCCCTTGAACAAACGTTTGACACGCTGGTTTCCCAAACTCAACCTCTACTACAACAATCAACATTGAAACTGATAACATTATTGTAGATATTAATTCCATTTCTGAAATAAACACCCGTTTGGTACCAAAAAGCGACAAGCTCGCCTACTAAAGATATTGAAACAAAAATCATGACTCTGAGGAAAAAGATCAGGAACGTTTTAGAAGGACATATAAATCATCAAGCTAAGCCTAACTTAATCCCCAAGAAAAATTAGCCCTTAAAGAAACTTTAAAAAAAGATAACAACATCATCAAAGAATTTGACAAATGTAAAGATTTTGTAGTTATCAGCAGGAACATTTTCAAACAAAAAATAATTTAGATCCCACCAAAAAAACAAAAAAAAAAAGATTGAACGAAAGTTAAATAAACTCTCTCTGAACTTACAAGATCAAGTAACCTCCATAAGAAGCTTCTAGATAGACTTTGAAACTTTTGGTTTACCAAAAGAACACAAATCGGATATGCCATTTAAACCTATTGTCTCAACATATGGCAGTTCCGCTGAAAGTCTGCCTTAGCTTATTCATACAGTTTTAGTTCCCTTACTAAATTACATTCCAGTACACTTCAATAATACACGAGACCTGCTATCGTGAATCAAGGATGTACCTCACCTAGTGATCAATACAATAATACTCTTTACATTGGACGTCGTAGCTCTCTACCCATCTATACAAACAGAAGATGGTGTCAAACCAGTGTGTGAATTAATGTCGAATCACAGAAACAATTTGGGACGTACGGACTGACAATAGACAGAGAAATCTTACACTTCATCCTTCACTATGGTTATTTTCGTTTTGACAACAAACTGTATCTCCAACTCGGTGTCTCAATGGGTAATAGAGTCGCTGTTATTTATGCCGTAATATTTATGCACGGTTTTGAAACAACTGCACTTGAGAAGTGGTGTCAAGATACCAACACCGTCTCTGACGTCTGGCTTATATACATCGATGACGTGTTTACACTACGGAACCACGGACTTCCTTCTTTAATTCAATTTTTAGACTTTCTAAATTCCATAGACCCCAAAATCCAATTCACCCTAAATCATTCGCATGACAAGAGGACCATAGATGTTCTTGACGTTACCTTAAGGATCGACAATGACAATAATATACAATCTACCTGAAAAAAACACACGAAAAACACAGATAAACAAGGTGGAAAAAAGACAATTTTCCAGAGTAGCACAAAAAAAGATCACTTTTATGTTACTTCCAATTGACGAAGCTATCTCCAAGAAAATAAAAACTATAACCACGCAATTTTAACTGCCGATTAAAGTTATAGAACAGCCAGTTCCAACCCTAAAAAGTCAGCTTTCAAAATCTGACTACACTATCCTACAACTTAATGGAGCCAACTGTCTTACAAAAACGTGTTTGCAATATTAAAATGGTTGTCTTGTCTCCAATGTTGTTTACAGCTTACATATAACATCTGTCATCATACGTACTTAGGAGAAACCGAAAGAACCCTACATAGAACATACTGACGCTCTTTGTAAACAACAACATGAAAGAAACACAGTTACAGATCATTTTTTAACTAATCATGGACAAGTAACAGCTGACTTGAAACCATCATTCTCAGTACAAATCCTCACTAAGTACACTGACAGAAAATTCAAAAAAGCTCTTCTCATCGAACAAGTACGTCCACGGATGAATAGGGACAAAGGCTGACACCTATAATTATAATTATTACATTTTTTATCCTATCTTTTTGTTATTTCAATCCATAACTTTGATATAACTTTTGTTTATTACAGATATCAGTTAATTTTTGTCAACAATAAGTTTTACTACTTGATACACCAAACGCACGTTGTACAAATGCAAGTATATAAGTTCGATTAGAATTTATTAATACAAAACATTGAGGCTTTTTTTTATTAAATATTTTCTATAAACCAATATGCACTACAAAAATTAAATAATTAATGAATTTGCTGAATCGGGCAATATTAATACATAAGTAACTTTAGTAGATCTTCAATTATCTTTATTCTAACACCTAATATTAACATTTTAACTGGTTTTAATTTTCATAATGATGTTAGCGTGAGACTGTCAATATAAAAATCAGGTTTTAGTTTCGAGATAAACAAACGCACTAGACTCATTTGTACAGGTTAAGTATCAATTAAACGAAAAGCAGTTTGTTACATATAATTAACATGATTTTTATAAGTTTTTGTATTTGAAATTCGAAATAATCTTTTATTATAAGTGACCCAGAAACTGAGTATTGAAATCATGTCGTCCTACATTAGCACATGCAAGGAAATATTCATTAGGTTTCAATACCTAAAGTATAATATCATTGACAGACGTCTGTTTGCTCTCGGTTAGTGACAAAAAAAGAGGATTCGTTTGTTTATTGTTAAGTACAAAACTACACAATGTGCTACCTGTGCTGTGACCACCACGGGTATCGAAGCCCGGTTTTCAGCGTTATAAACCTACAGACTCGCCGCCGAGCCACAGAGAGGGCAGGAGGATAGCCAAGACCAGTGACCAAACGAAATTATCAGCGTTAGTAATGAAGTACTATATTATTGAAATATATACAGAGAGAAAATATAGAACCTTTCCCACATAAATTTCAGTTCAACGGAGTCGAAATCAATTTTTCAAAGTAATTCAATGAAAAACTGCTTGAATACTAACTCTAATATTGATTATTGGTAACTAATTTTGCCAGTTCTTCTTATGGAGAACGGGAATAGCGTATTTTGACATCAGAAAATTTAATAACAAAACTCTGAATCATGTGACGATTGCTAGATATCATTTTTATGCAAGATATTGTCTAAATATGTAAATTTAATTGGATAATATGTTCTAAAATCACTTTAAAATAACAATTGTAAAGAATGGGGAGGATCATGATAAAGTTGTCAACTGTGTGCCTAAAGGATCAAATATTACATTTCCTTTTTATTTGAAGTTTGTTTGTTTGTTTTTAATTATGCACAAAGCTACACAAGGGCTATCTGTGCTCTGCCCACCACGGGTATCGAAACACGGTTTCTAGACATACCGCTCTGCCACTGGGGGGCACTTTTATTGGAAGAAAGGGAAAAGAAAATAAGAAACAATCAAATTAGACAAATATATAAAATAACAAAGAAAACCAACAAAATTATTTATAAAATAATCTGTTTATGTAAAATCTAATATTTGTTGTTAAAATGGGTAACATTTGTCGTGACTATTGGAGTTGATGCCGGTAATCTCCGTAAGATAAACACCCACTTGTTAACTATATATATAATATTTGTTGTTAAAATGGGTAACATTTGTCGTGACTATTGGAGTTGATGCCGGTAATCTCCGTAAGATAAACACCCACTTGTTAACTATATATATATTGAATGCGTTGAACTTACCACGAAAGTAGTCAGATTAACACCACCGTTAAATCTTCTTCTAAAATATCTATCGTGTCTCTTACGTCTTCCACCTCTTCCACGTCTTCCACCTCTTCCACGTCTTCTACCACCACCTCCAAATTCGTTGAAAAATGGAAACACTCCTGGAGGTACCTGTTGATTAAACGTTTGGAAATCATATTGTTTTCTAAGCTTTACTTGATACAAAAATATGTTAACATATTAGGAAAACGATTACATCTTTAAATGGAGCATGTAGTTTCATCCTGACATATTAACTTGAACTGTAAATGTCTCATATTAATTAGAACAAAGATTATCTTTTCAAATACAAACACAATCGAGTAATTTCTTTTATCCCATAGATTATCAAATATTATTACGAACTTTGTGTTAACATATCTTACTGCTTTATGTAACATAATAATAAACTAAAACACTTACCAACTCATTCCTTACACACGTATAAAACTGAAAGAAAAAACAATATAAAAGTCAGATTTGTTTTCAGAAAATTTCTCGTTGTCTTTTATTTTTAAACTGTTACATTCAAAAATATTTTCATAACTCTAGTTGTGTTGGTATGTAGTTTCAAACTATGATCAACAACAATATAATCATCGTATAACCTACGTTCATAAACCCCAGTTCTGAATTTACATAAAAGTTGAATACCCTCCAACTTTCTTTGGGAATGAAAGAATATAAAGGTGAGAGAGTCCAAGTTAAAACTACACCAGCATGCTTTTAAAACTTAAAACAAACTTCCACTGAGCAACACTTGCTATCATCCACCTAGATGGGCTGATATAAGTAAATCGAAACTATAATTCTCAGTTAGCTGCGGCGTGAGTTTTGTTAAGCATATTTTAACTTACACATTTTCATTTCAAAAGATAACAAACGTATTTCTTACAACTTGGGCCAATAGAAATAATTTGTACTGATACAAACTATAAACGAGGTTCGAAAAAAAACAGTATTATCTTCTTATCTTTATTGTTGTTTTATTAGTGCAAATCTTCATGATGGCCTATCTGCACTATGTTGACCGCGTGAAATCGAACCCCAGATTTTAGCCAAGTAAGTCCGCAAATATTCCGCTGTCCTACCGGGAGACCACTTATCGTAATAATAACATAATACAATATTGTGTTTTAAACTTATCGTAATAATAACATAATACAATATTGTGTTTTAAACTTCAAACTGAGAATTGTGTCACTCCAATTTCTTTAATCCAAAGTTACTACAGTATTTCCTGTTGAAGTGTGTTTCAACAATACTTGAAAACTGTCATCACAAACAATAAACAAACAGCGTATTATTAGAACACTTATTCAGAGAAGAGAAAGGTTTGAAAATATTTTGAGTAATATAATATGATTATATAATTAATTTAATATAATTAAAACAAAACTGGTAATGTTTGGACAAACACTGACTTGAAAATATTCTGTACGTATGTATAGATTTACCAGGAATTTGGTAACGAAGTTATTACAGATTTCGTCCAGAAACTCTATATCGGATAAACTCGGGGCAGTCTGGTTCTGGCATAGTTCTTTAGCGTTTCTCTGACGTATAAACAGAAACAAAAAGTGTTATAAACAACCAAAGGATGAATTTATTTATTATAGTTATTGCACTGAAAGAGATATAAAATAAAACTGCAAAAAATATCTGTGATATTTGATATTTTGTAAGAAAAATAAATAAATGTCGTATAATTGGAGAAATGGACATAGCTTTCCTTGATAAAACAGTTCTAGAATATTCTATATTTCACACTTATCTATTCAAATATATGTATATAAAATAATATAACAAACACAATTGTTTTATATTAAGTGTAAATAGTTTTTAGAATCGTGATAAACAATTAATTTAGAAAATATTTAAACGAATTTTTTACATTAGTAAAATATGTATAATCATTATCTATAATACCGTAATAATACAAGCTTCAAACCTGTCTTAATACGTGTTTCTCATTGTTAGCGTCAAACATTCATAAATAATGTTAAAATAATACATTTATACAACAACGATATTGAATTATTCGTCACTTGGTTTAACAATACACTGGTATAACCACAACAGAATCAGTGAAGTACTGGTATAGCAACTACAAATATGATATAGTACAAGAATAATCAACACATGCAAGTTACAGTACTAATATCATCACTACAGGCAAGTTACAATACAAATATCATCACTACAGGCAAGTTACAGTACTAATATAATCACTACAGGCAAGTTACAATACTAATATCATCACTACAGGCAAGTTACAGTACAAATATCATCACTACAAGCAAGTTACAATACAAATATCATCACTACAGGCAAGTTACAGTACTAATATCATCACTACAGGCAAGTTACAATACAAATATCATCACTACAGGCAAGTTACAGTACAAATATCATCACTACAGGCAAGTTACAGTACAAATATCATCACTACAGGCAAGTTACAGTACTAATATCATCACTACAGGCAAGTTACAGTACTAATATCATCACTACAGGCTAGTTACAGTACTAATATCATCACTGCAGGTAAGTTACAGTACTAGTATCATCACTACAGGTAAGTTACAGTATTAATATCATCACTGCATGCAAGTTACAGTACACATATCATCACTACAGGCAAGTTACAGTACTAATATCATCACTACAGGCAAGTTACAGTACAAATATCATCACTGCATGCAAGTTACAGTACTAATATCATCACTACAGGCAAGTTACAATACAAATGTTATCACTACAGGCAAGTTTCAGTACTAATATCATCACTACATGTAAGTTACAGTACTAATATCATCACTGCATGCAAGTTACAGTACAAATATCATCACTACAGGCAAGTTACAGTACAAATATCATCACTACAGGCAAGTTACAGTGCTAATATCATCACTACAGGCAAGTTACAGTGCTAATATCATCACTACAGGCAAGTTACAGTACAAATATCATCACTACAGGCAAGTTACAGTGCTAATATCATCACTACAGGCAAGTTACAGTGCTAATATCATCACTGCAGGCAAGTTACAGTACTAAAACTAATCTATTACTGCTAAATTAGGGACGGCCAGTGCAGATATTTCACTTGTAGCTTTGCGCAAAATTCAAAACAAACCAAATCAAACAATTTTTTCAAGATTGCACCTGACCCCAAACAAGGACCTAAATCCCGATGAAGCAGAATCAGCAAATCTACACGTGTCTAACACATTTCTAATATCATAATTGTCAGTCGGTTCCTTTACCACTTTGTTAAATAAATACAAATAGCAATGTTATACTCACCACTGTCACAGAAGAACTGTTCAGAACACATTCGTAACGCATCACTCTTGTTTCGTTAGCAACATTCTGATCTGAAACATAGTAAATTTTTAATTATACTTCTTATAAAACATTATTATTAGGCCTATTTTATTCTTAAACACTACATTCTTTATTTAGTCCTTTAGTGACTTTCAAGTATCAGAAGAATGTATGATAATAGTATTTCAAGCACACTTTATTCGCCATATCCATTACCGTTCACACCATAAGAATTGATGTTGTGACAAATGGTTTATATAGATAGAGTTCCGACCAGTACTGTGTTTGTTGTAAGTTTATATAGATAGAGTTCCGACCAGTACCGTGTTTGTTGTAAGTTTATATAGATAGAGTTCCGACCAGTACTGTGTTTGTTGTAAGTTTATATAGATAGAGTTCCGACCAGTACTGTGTTTGTTGTAGGTTTATATAGATAGAGTTCCGACCTGTACTGTGTTTGTTGTAAGTTTATATAGATAGAGTTCCGACCAGTACTGTGTTTGTTGTAAGTTTATATAGATAGAGTTCCGACCAGTACTGTGTTTGTTGTAGGTTTATATAGATAGAGTTCCGACCAGTACTGTGTTTGTTGTAAGTTTATATAGATAGAGTTCCGACCAGTACTGTGTTTGTTGTAAGTTTATATAGATAGAGTTCCGACCTGTACTGTGTTTGTTGTAAGTTTATATAGATAGAGTTCTGACCAGTACTGTGTTTGTTGTAACCCAGTCGGCTTAAAAAGCTTTGGATTGAGCGAAACGCGACGTCGGCAATAGATATAGCGATTATTTGTATGGTTGGAATACAATTAGTACATAATTTTGTAATTCTTGAAAATCCCTAAGGAACTAGATAAAGAATGTAGTGTCTAAAAATATAACAGGTCTAATATAAACGTCTTACGATAAGTATAGTTATAATCATGCTTCGCCATCTTGTAAAATACATTTACACCATGGCGTGATTTTTATTATGAAATGAATGAACTTTAACAAACGTTCCCAACACATCACATAAACATTAAATCTCAGGACATATTTCTACTCCGCTTCTTTTACTCAATTCGACTAAGTGGATTCTTTATCTGGAGTGCTTAATGTAAAACTAATATCACGAACATTTTAGACGTGAATATTTAGTCCTACCCAAGTCATGATAAAAACTATCTTTTCCAGTGTTCTCCGGTAATGAACGCCCAGTGAATATTTACAGAAATGTGTTATTAATTAATATAATAGAAAACAATAAAAAGAATTGTTGATGAATTGTTTAAAAATTAAGAATAATAGTTTGCCAACCGATAACGGTATGAAAGACAAATGTGAAATCATCGTAGGATTAACAACAAGAATAACAAATTGTGAAGATAACATCGATATTAATAACAAGAACTGTTAACTGTGAAGACAACATTGATATTAATAACAAGAACTGTAAACTGTGAAGACAACGTGGATATTAATAACAAGAACTGTTAACTGTGAAGACAACATCGTATTAATAACAAGAACTGTTAACTGTGAAGACAACATTGATATTAATAACAAGAACTG